CACTAGGGTCAGTGCCTCAGTCTCAGCAGTAGCAAAAACCAAGTCGTCGACGTACACGAGGATGTAGAACGGCGGCAGAGTAGTGTCGGTGCGTAGAAACAGCGACGGGTCAGCAGTCGAAGGAGCAAACCCAAGAGCCGCAAGTGTCGTCCTCAGTGTGTCGTGCCACTCACGGGGCGCCTGACGCAGGCCGTACACTAGTCGCCGTAGGCTCCACTGGGTACCCGCAGGAAACGACCCAGTGAAGCCCTGTGGACGGCGCAACCAGATGGCCTCGTGAAGGCTACCCTGCAAGAAAGCTGTCGAGAAGTCGAGGGAGTGCAACTCGTAGTCACGCTGAGTTGCAACGTGTAGCAACACCCAAAGAGTGGTCATCTTCGGGGTGGGGGAGAAGGTCTGAAAGAAGTCGACCCCCTCACGCTGACTGAAGCCTCGAGCAACGTAACGTGCCTTGAAGGCAGGCGGAGAACCCGGCGGCCGCTTCACCCTGAAAATCCACATGCCACTGACGATGTTCGCCCCAGGTGGGGGAACCTCGTCGACGTAGGTGCCTGTGGACTTCTAGGAAGCCATCTCTGCGTCCATGGCTGTCTGCCACTGAGAGGAGTACTCACCCGAAATCGCCTCCCTGTAGGAGCGCGGGGTGGGGATGTCAAGTGCATCCGGGTCTCCCTCTGGGGCAAGCAGCCTGGTCGCGTGATGGGGTGAAGCGGCAGCAAGGCACTCCAGCTCCTCCTGTCTGTCCTCAATAACGTCACAGCCAAGGGCAGTACAGCCAAGAGCAGTCTCACCCCCGACGGACGGAGGACAGGCAGGGACAGGGTCAGAGACAAGACTCGCAAGGTAGTCTAGGCGGTACACAGCAGCAAAGTCAACGAGCTCAGCTACTAGGGCAGACGCAGCAGGAGACGAGAACGTAGGGTCCGTCACAACCGTAGCAAGAAGGCGAGTAACAGTCGGACTGACGCACGAGCAAGGTCAGACGGAGGGACAGCAACGTCAGGCAGAGAGGACGCAGGAGGTAACGGTAGTACAACACGCTGAGGAACAGAGGAAGGACGGAGTGTCATATCGTGAGTGCCGGGGACAGCCGGAGCACGCGGACGACGAACACGAGGAACACGAGCACGGACAGCAGCTCTACGCTCAGGCTCAAGGTCAAAGCTAGACTCAGGCTCTCGACGCTCAGGGGTGGAAGCACGAGTCTCAGGCTCTCGACGCTCAGTCAGGGACTCTGACACCGCAGTGTAAGGAGCAGGAGCAGGCAGTGGGGAGTGTGGTAGCAGCGGTGGCTGTGATTGGTCCGCTGGCGGACACAGCAACGGAGGAGTAGTACCTGCCACAGGGAAGCCAGTAGCACCTGGCGGAAGACTGAGAAGGTGGCGAAGAGCACCAGTAGCTCCCATACCTCCAGCACGAGCAGCTCCTCCAGTACCCCCAACAACACCTCCAGCACCAGTAGCACCAGCACCTCCAGCACCACGAGCTCCGACAGCGCCAGCACCTCGAGCACCAGTAGTACCTCCAGCACCTCCAGTGCCTCCAGCTCCAGCTCCAGCGCCTCCAGCACCAGTAGTACCTCCAGTATCTCCTGTGCCAGCAGCTCCAGTAGCACCTCCTGCACCTCCAGCACCAGCAGTACCAGCAGCTCCGGCAGCTCCAGCACCTCCAGTACGAGCACCTCCGGGACCAGTAGCTCCAACACCTCCAGTACCTCCAGCTCCAACGCCTCCAGCACCAGCAGTACCAGCACCTCCAGGGCCAGCAGCTCTCGCAGCTCCAGCACCAGTAGCACCAGCACCTCCAGTACCTCCTGCACCAGCAGCACCTCTAGTACCTCCAGTAGTACCTCCAGCACCTCCAGCACCAGCAGCACCTCCTGGACTAGTAGCTCCAGCACCAGCAGGACCGTACCCTCCACCACCAGGACTGCCTCGCAGAACGACCCACGCACGAATCGCCTGCGGCGAGAGCGTCTCAAGTAGAGCAGGCTGCGGTGGCTGTCCAGCTCCAGTACCTCCAGTAGTGGTAGCTCTAGCACCTCCAGCTCCAGAAGCACCTCTAGTACCTCCAGCTCCAGCACCTCCAGCACCAGTAGCAGCTCCAGTACCTCCAGCACCAGTAGTACCTCTAGTACCTCCAGTGGGACCTCCAGGCCTAGTAGCTCCAGTACCTCCAGCTCCAGGACCTCCAGAAGGACTCGCAGCACCCCAAGAGTCAGTACCCGAAGTCTCAGCACCCCCAGAGTCAGCACCCAAAGTCTCAGTACCCTCAGTCCCAGGACCCTCAGGCTCAGCACCCTCAGTCCCAGCACCCTCAGTCTCAACACCCTCAGTCTCAGCACCCTCAGGCTCAGTACCCTCAGTCCCACCACCCTCAGTCCCAGCACCCTCAGTCTCTGCTCCAGTGTCCACAGCAGTAGGCTGCAGAGGCGGCGAAGACGGCAGAGGTGAGAACCCGGGGGGGGTAGCCAGACGAGGAGAGCGGGCACCCCCAGACTCACCACCCCCAGCCCCAGCTCCAGTGGTCTCAGCTCCAGAGTCCACAGCAGCAGGCTGCGGAGGCGGCGAAGACGGCCGTGGCGGGAAACCCGGGGGGGTCGCCAAGGGAGGAGTGTGGCGAGTGGTCGCCGTGTCGTCGGCGACGGCGTCACCCCCCTCAGGTGAGTCAGAGGAGTCAGAAGAGATCTCAACTGGCTCATCCAAGGGGGGTGGGTCTACCTGGGACACACCTGAGGGAGCAGGACCCTGTGGGGGGAGGGGGTCTACGGGGGGGGGGACTGGTTTCGGGAAGAGGGGTGCAAGGGGGACCGGGTGGGACGCGTGCGGGTGAAGTCGGTAGTAACAGACCGACTCGTTGAAGGTGACGTCCTGAGAGGACAGAACACGACGCGAGGCAGGGTGGTAGAACTGCCAGGGTGGGTGAAAACGAATGTGGTGGGCCCTTAATTACGGTCCTAGGCTAGGAACGTCCTAGCTCTTAATACCATGTTAGAATAGTAGGAAGGAATGTTGATTAGGTAAGAGGGAGGGGGTACAAGGATGTCGAGAGAGTTGGGTTGTACCCTCTAAGGTGTGACCCCTACACAACCTAGAGTAAGATGAACAGAACAATATGTTGACAAAGTGAACATTCGCATGCATCTAAACCTTTTTTCAAACGCTTGTAAAGTTAGTATATAGTGACTGCTCACGTGTATTGATATACTAAACGAGTCAACGGGCCATTGTTGTTACCGAATATTATATCGGACAGAGCTTTGCTTCTGCTCTGAAGCCGTACAGTCAGAACTGTATGCTTGACTTCAGCTACAAGGTACAGTTTATGCTTGACTTGATCTGTACACTTGGATCCTTCTTTAATTAGTATAGTTTTTAGGCCTACTGTACGTAAATCGTCCGAGGGTTAGTTAGTGGGAATTTTGTGCTAGGGATACCATCACAACTCCAGCTCCCAGATTCTGGCTGGATTTTCGTGACTTGCAAGAAAGCTTGTGTAACTTCGAGATGTATTTTCGTCGGCTTGTAGGGTGTGGTTCGTGGGCCAGGCCTGTCGAAGCTTCGGGGACCAGTAGTTGAACTCGTGGCCCGTCTGTCGACCACTGCCAGATTAGACACTGCATGTTAAAAAGGGGCAAATGAGTGTGCAAGATGTGCACTTCCGGGGACGGCAAAGCACACGAATGAGGGCGGGTCATTTTCGTTCGTTTAGATGCGGCTCAATGCGATGATTCACATTTTGTAACGGTTAAATCTTTGTCTAGAGTGGTCGGGATGGTATCGAGCTATGAATGAAATGAGAATGATCCCGCCCTGAGGTGAGCACTTACCTCCCACACCCGTCAGTCTCTCTGCTCTGCTGCACACCACAGTCCAGCTGGACGAACGATGGCAACCTGGTTCACCTGAGCGGGAGCTGCAGGTCGTTTATGAACGTAGTTTTTTACAGTACTACTGTAGTGCCTTGTTCTTTAGCCGCATACACGCGGGTCTTAACTGTACGGTAATTGTACTTGATGTCAAGTGGTCAGTTGTCGTTTGCGCTGTCAGGTTAGGAACCTTGACAGCACTCGGGTCACTTCACTTCATTGGCTCTCCACGGTGCAACAAAGTTGCTGACTCAGCTTTATCATATTTCTTGGGTTTTTCAGATTCTCAAAGACTTCTCAAGAAGGGATGGACTTCGTCAATCTCTGAGAACAATGGTGCGCCCCGCGATTCTGGCTCACTACGAAAGGGTCACAACGGATGCCCGTCATTTCGAATATCTGGCCGAACACTGCACTTATAATACTCTTCATGGCTGAGAGCAGAATACACTCATCCGGCCACACCAGCCAAACATGGTTCAGGAGCCCTTTAATGGGCCGACTCGGAAATGTCACAATCTATACATAGCAGATGTCAAAACTAACGCTGAAGAAAGTTACATACCTTGAAGATATTAACACTGTACAGTGCGCTTGACTTCCTGCGCTGACGATGCCAAGGCAGACCCGAAGTGCAATGCTGCATTAGTACTGTACTGTGCGCAGCCTGACCACGCTGGCAACAACAACACGCAAATGAGGGGACTGCTTGAGCTACCATTCGTCAAGTCTCTGCACAAAAGATCCCAGCTGGACGTTCGCTCCAAAGATGACAACCCTGCCCAACACGAACCGCAGATCTTATGAACCTGACAGCAGAGGAACAGAGTCTCCCAGCATCCACACAATCTATAAGAGACTCAGTCTGTTTAGTAGTTCCCAGAACCACCTAGTATAACCACAGTCTGTCTACCAACTCTAGTAGAATTCGACAGGCCAAGCAACCATCATGGCTCGCTTTACTTCGGTTTTCATCTGTCTGGCTCTTTGCGCTTCCGCAGCCCTCGCCGAGGTGTGCCCGAAGTTCGTGTGCGGGCCGGGTAATTTCCTGTATGGCAAGTTCACAGACCCCACAGACTCGTACAAGGAGCCTGCGGATCCTCTGCTTGAAGCGTACTTCACTCCGGGCCAAATGGAGGTGTACGAGAAAATCGACGTTGTCGACCCGTTGATCAACACCCCCCAGTTGGACTGTTACAAGGTGTGCGCAGATTACAACATGAAGCCGGGCAACCATAATCCGGAGAAGAAGGCCAAGTACTGGATGTTTGAAGAGACATGTCTGGACGCAACTGGAGGCATCTGCGCGTGCTACAACAAGCTGCAGTGCAAGGACGACAAGAGCTACAGCAGCAAGTGGATGGAGCCGGCTCAACATAACGGCACTGCGGACTACGAGGTGCCGGCGAATTTCACGGTGGGCGAGTTGTGCGAGGGCAAGGACAAGGGCGACCCGCACTTCACGGGCGCCGACGGGTCGCACTTCGACTTCAGCGGGAAGCCGAACCGCAACTACGCGCTGGTGTCGGACCCGCACTTCCAGATGAACGGCTTCTTCGGCGGGCGCTACAGCCGGTGGAACGGCGACGTGAAGGCGCTGACGTGGATCCGGTCGGTGGGGCTGATGGCGGGACACCACACGGTGGTTCTGGAGGCGCGGCGCGGCGCGGAGGCGGAGTACGGCAACGGGTACCTGGCGCGCGTGGTGGCCGACGGCGTGGCGGTGGAGCTGACTGTGCCCGGCACGACGGTGCAGCTGTGGGACGGCGCGACGCTCAAGTGGGAGGCTGCGCGCATGCTGAGCGGCACGGACCTTGTGGACGTGTACGACGTGAAGATCGACGGCGTCGCCACCATCCGCCTCACGCTCAGGCCCGAGGTCAAGAACCTCCGCACCGCCACGGATGCCGCCGTGCACTTCGGCCTCGACGTGCTCTTCTCCTCCTTCTCCAAGGCCGTGCACGGCGTGCTCGGCCAGACGTTCCGCCCCGACTTCCAGGGCCGCCTGTAAGTCGAATCGCCGCCTATTCGCCTTTGTTTTTTCGTTGGCTAGTTTTTCGTTGGCTCGTTTTTGCATGATGGAATTCCCACCTTCTATCGTTTATCTCCGGTTGTGTTTTGCAGGTCTCACCAGAAGCTGCAGTGGAGCGATCTGCTACAGGTGATGGTGGTGCCGGGCGACAACGCGGAGGGCTTCATCGATGGAAGCATGGACGACTACGAGGTGGCGGACCTGCTCAAGGCGGACTGCAAGATGTGCCGCTTCACGCGCGCCCACGCCGTGGACGAGGAGATGTCCATCGCCATGAACATGATGAGGGGCAGCGCCGTCGGCGGAGGCCTGCCCGCTGCTCCTCGCAAATACCTCGCACAGAGCTTCTAGGCACTCGCCATCGAGTATTATTGCAATGATGTGATCGGCCTCCATTTGCTGGTTTTGTATGACAGGGTGTGGGATTTCTGTAGGGGATGGGATGGTGTCGAAGCTTGGAGGACACTCCCAATGTGGTCACCCACAACACGCTAAAATTGTATGCAGTTTGCTGCTTTGCTTCCCGCCCAATCTACAACGGTCAAACAAACCGCCAAGGTTTGGGCGGGATCGCTAGATTTCGTACTGTCTGCGAAATGTATGCGGGAGTCGCGTCCACCTTGGGTTCTGGAAACCATGCCTCGACACACGTTATTGATTTTCCATGTTTTCTTGTGTATTTTCGAGTTTATATATTCTATACTATACTTTATACTTTACATTTTATATGTATCACGTTGTCTTGCACTCTCGTTAATGTCATATAGGGAATGAAAGGGTAGACAGTTGTGATATCTATCAAACGTGTACCTTCTACAGGATAACCCAACCTATGGTAGCCTATAATGTGCACGTCCAGAATTGTATGTTCAAATTGACACACCCCCTTGGCAACGAAAGCGGTAGTCACTATACGATGGAAACAACTCGGGGCGGCACTACTAGTCCAGCCTCAGAGGCAAGGCCACAATGCCAGTAAGCAAGAAACAACAAAGCATAAGATGCAACTCACGGCGTTATCACGATACTTGTCACGAGATGAACAAATTTTAACACCAATAGCATAGCTTTCGAGACAAAGGGCCATAAGGCCAAATACAGGGCCAAATACAGGACAGGGTACACAGATCAAGAAACTAGCAAGTGAGGACGTCCTGGGACCAGGCCAAGTTGTGTGCAAAACCGCTGATGATCACGACGCAGGAGAGCTTTGGTGAAGATGACACCAATGCTGGCCCCTAAGGCCAAGTGTACAACACGTGCCTCGCCGCGCTTGATGTGCTTCGCTCTGCCCTCTAGTCTTGGCTCCTAACACTAGAGCCTCCGCCGCCACGAGCTGCACCCCCAGTCGCCGCCCCATAGCCTCCACCCCTGTTAGCTCCACCCCTACCGCCACCCGAGCCCCCTCCGCCCACCCCGCCGCCTCCACCACCTCCGCCACCACCCCCGCCATCTCCACTGCCGCCACCACCGCCTCCACCCCCGCCACCACCCCCGCTACCACCCCCGCCAGCGCCACCCCCACCACCCTTACCCCCCTTGCCCTTGCCGCTACGGCGCCTCCCACTAGGAGCAGACGCTGCTCCGACCTCCTGAGCACGACCTCAGTAGCAGCAGAGGCAACAGAGGGCGCGAGAAGGGAGGGAGAACACCACTCAAAGAAGGGGGAGCGGGGAGTGCCACGAGAGGCGGCTACAGCGACAGTACTGGTCTCAGCCTCGAGGAGATGCTTTTCCAGCGAGGCAAGCGTAAGCTCAGTGGGGTCAAGAGCGAGGAAATGATCCCTAACAGTGCAGAGGGAGTCAGGGAGACGAGTGACGAGGAAGTAAAGAGTGATGTACATCGGGGGCGGGTTTGCAGTCAGAAAGGCCGGCTTGAGAGCGGCGCGGTAGCGAGTGTCACTAGAGCGAAGGTGGGTCATGAGATCAGATACGGTGTGGAAGTCCGACAGCCCAGGAAAGAGATACGGCAGCATGAGACGGCCTAGGGCAGCAGTAGAGGGGGAGGAGTAGCGAGCGACTACGGCGTCATAGAGTTCCTTGGCCGTCTTAAGCTGGCCAAAATGGACCCTCTCATCTAGCGGGAGGGCGTTGCGGACAGAAAGGCGGGCGACAGCATCGCGCGTGAGCCACTGCGAACGAGTCACACGGTCAGCTGACTCATCAGGGGTGGGAAGGGAACCGGATTTATGCTTTAACGGTGAGACGTCCTCCCTAGCTATGCTCTGCAGGTACGGCTGGAGATCCTCGAGCCAGCAGCCAAACTTAATCGGGCGACCCTCCGCGTCAAAAGTAAGGACAGTAATGGTAGCCATAGTAGGCAGTAGCAGTAGCAGCAGCAGCAGCAGCAGCAGCAGCAGAAGCAGCAGCAGCAGCAGCAGGAACAGGTGCGGCAACAAAAGCAGCTCGGCTGGGCAGCTAGGCAGGGCGGCTCAGCTGGGCGGTTCGGCAGGGCGGCGCGGCTCGGGCAGGCGGCGCGACTCGGCAGGGCGGCGCAGCTCGGGCAGGGTAGGGCAGCTTGGCGCGGGCAGCAGCAACAGCTTAGCAACAGCTGCAGCGTGGGCAGGGCACGTGCAGGCGGCCCAGGGCAGTACGCGGGCTGTGCGGGCATAGCGCGGGCGGCGCATGGGCAGCAGGGGCAGCGCGCTCGTAGCACGTAGGCGGCGCCAGCAACGGGCGGGCAGTGCGCAGGCAGAGCAGGCAGTGCGTGGGCAGGGCGATGACGGTTCAAGCAGCGCGCAGGCAGCTCGCGGGCAGGGCAAGCAGCGCACGCAGCAAAGGCAGCGCGCAGGCGGTGCAGGCAGCGCGCGGGCAGTGCACGCGCAGGGCGCAGGCAGCGCGAGCAGGGCGCTTGCAAGGCAGCAAGCGGGTCACGCGCAGGGCTGGGCAGAGCTCGCGGGGTAGCGCAGGCAGGGCAGCGTGCGGGACGCTGTGAGGGCAGGGCAGTTACGATCGGGCAGGGCAGGAAAACGGGCAGTAAGAAACTAATGGTGGGCCCTAAAGGAGCGGTCCTACGGAAGGACCTGCTCTGAATACCATGTCAGAATACTAAGGCAAGAATGAATGCACTAGCATGAATCACAAGTACAAGTAGGAAACCCTAAAAGGGTTGTACTCTATGTAAGTTACCCCACTACAGCCTACAGACATACAAATGTAATTTGACAGGATCATGGCCCTGTAATTAGCGAATAGGACTGGGGCAGAGCTAGGTGGCTCACATAAGTCAGTGAGCAAGAATGTCACAGCGTAGAACTCTGCCTCACACCTGAACTGTGCCACCGACGACGAACGAGTGGAGGCAGCGATCAGGGATAGGACACACCCCTCAAAGATGGGAGGAAGCACCGTAACAGTGGACTAGGCGATGGCGCGTAGGGCGGGTCTTGATCTCAGTAGGACGCATCTGAAAGAGACTGATAGTCAGGCTCGTGGGGTGCTCATCGAGGAAATCGTCGCGGGCAGGCAAGAAGCGGTCAAGGAGGCGGCTTGGGAGGAGGTACAGGGTGATCTACGTGGGGGCAGGTGCATATCAAGGTCCTCAATAGTGCTAGCTGCACGGTAGCTAGTGTCAATCGGGCGCAGGTGGGTAACAAGATTAGAAATGGTGAAGAACGCAGAGAGAGATGAAAAGCGGAAAGGCAAAAAGTGGCGGCCTAGAGAGGCAGAGGAGGGAGTGGATTAGCGAGCAATATCAGCAACAAAATATTACTTCGCCGTCTCCACCTGGTAAAAGTGCTCTCGCTCCGTCAGTGGAAGGAGGCGACCGATAGCAAGGTGCGCAGTAACGCCATGACTCATACGCCTCCCATCACGTGCGCTCTAGTCGAGATGCACGGTACTCCTCCTTCTGCGCCAACAGCATGATCAGCAGGAAGCGGCGGGGCTGAGAGCTCACCCAAAGCGTGGGTGTACAGGCAGATGTCATTCTGAAGCTGGCTCCGCATGTAGAGCTTGACATCGAGCAACCACGAAGGAAAATCGATAGCACGGCCCTTCGCATCGAAACGCAAGACGGAATAAATCGCCATAACAGTATGAAGTAGGGGCACAACTGTAGCAGGTGAGAGGAACGGCCAGAGGAGGAGGAGGAGACCGGCAGTAGGGCGTGCAGTAGGAGCACGTCAGGTATAAGCGGCACTGCCACGGGCGCAGGCAAGTGCGAGCCGCAGCGGGTTCGGGCTCAACATAACCGAGCAGGCGGCAGGGCGCTGCGGGCTAGCGCGGTAGGCGAGCTGGCGCGGGTGGGTCGCGGCACTAGGGCGGGGTGTGAGCTGGCGCTGGGGCGTGGGTGCGCGCTTCCGTGAGGGCGCTGGCGCAGGCTGTCACTAGGGTGGAGCCCGTGCGGTGCTAAGGAGAGGCCGCAACATCATGAGAGCGCGGACGCGGCAACGCTAGGGCGTTGGCGCGGGCTGGCGCGAGGGTGCGGGGAGCGGGCTGGCGCTGGGACGCGGGCGCATGTTGGCGCGCTGGAGCGATGGCGCGGGCGCGGGCTGGCACTAAGGTGGGGCGCGGTCGACTCTAGGGCGAGGGCGCGGACGGCGCTAGGGAACGGGCGTGGCGGCGTTAGGGCGGGGTGCGGGCTGGAGATGGGGCGGGGGGGTGTGCTGGTGCGAGGGCGCGGTGCGTGTGTGGCGGCGCTATGGCGGGGAGCGGTCGCGGCTGGCTGGCGCGTGGGTGGGGCATTGCGAGGCGCTCCAGAGGGCAACCTAATGGTGCTTTAAGGTTGGGGGCGCGCTAAAGGGGAGGCGAGGGTTAGCCTAACATAAACGGGTACCACGTGAACGAAGGAATGGACAACTAGAACCGGGACGTACAATTGTTATATGTACCATATTTGTACCCTCTACAGAATAGACATGCCTAACATAAATGTGTTATTTTTAACAAATGGACGATGATGACATTGGCAATTTCGTCTTTGTTACTTGAAAAACAATGACGCATTGCTGGTCTCTGAACGAAATGTATAGATAATAATCTTATTGCGATGGTGACGGGGAATGTCGAGGTTATGTTACTGCTTCATGCTATACGCGTTGCTAAAGATGCAACATAGTTCCTGCAATGTTGCAATACTGTATGTTCGGCTCCAGATTTGCCTCAACGATTGTGGAATCTTGTCGGGATGAGACGTTATTTGTTAGCCCGGTATGGGAGGCTATTAAAGCAATTGCAATGCTTAGCCGTCCATAATGTGTGCAGTGTATTTAGACTTGCTTAGGAAATGTAAGGACCGATATATGCATGGTTAGTAAATATAGCACCTGTTTACCCATTAGTTTTACTGGTAGTTACTTGTTTACCCATTATTTTTATCGGATCAGATGTTTATATATCCCATATTTCCCACCAGTCACCCACCCACCCGCTTCAGCCACTCATAAACCAGATTTCGAACCAACCTCGGACATACGGTTGGAAACGACAGAGTCCGAAGCAGCCGAAAGGTTTGAAGTGATTACATCGGCAGGTATGGAGCTGCCACAGACTACCAAGCAAACCGAGGTCTGGTGATATTCGTGTGAGAGGGTAACTATCTTTACCGTAGCAAAATACCCGTAACTGGACTGAAACTCTTATTATACCCCATCAGCCGACCTTCAGGGAGAGACTGCCCCATCCCGAACCAACCTGAACACTCCCACTCATGGTCCACAGGGATGTCTCACTCTTTCACCTCTATCCCCCACCTCTATCCCTCTCACTCTTCCACTCCCTCTCGCGCTCTCTTCCTCTCAGAGAGCGTATGGTGGGTGTATATCTCCCTCCTCTCTCTCTCTCTCTCTCTCTCTCTCTCTCTCTCTCTGTCTCTCTCTCTCTCTCTCTCTCTCTCTCTCTCTCTCTCTCTCTCTCTCTCTCTCTCTCTCTCTCTCTCTCTCTCTCTCTCTCTCTCTCTCTCTCTCTCTCTCTCTCTCTCTCTCTCTCTCTCTCTCTCTCTCTCTCTCTCTCTCTCTCTCTCTCTCTCTCTCTCTCTCTCTCTCTCTCTCTCCCTCTCCCTCATCCCCTCCCTCTGACCTGTCAGGTTTCTGAGCCGCACCCGCCATTCCCATCCCATCCCATCCCATCCACTCCACACACCCTCCCCTCCCCTTCCCATCTACCCCAACCCTCGTACAAGTCGATCATTCTGGTCTGGACTGTAAGAAGGCACAGAACTTGCAACTAACGCAGTGAGGTATCCGTAGGTCCAGCAGTCAGTGATAATCGGGCGTAGGGTTGGTAAGCGTGCTTCCTCCGCTGTGTGTTAGGCATTTGGGGTTACTTGGCAGGTCAGAGCAGGCCTTTTTTCCTGCTTCAAGGAGATTGTTTTCTTCAGCTGCTTGTTTCAGTGTCTACTCTATCCATACGACCTGAAGATCTGCAAAACCTGTTTCTGCACACATATCCGACAGATCTCAATTCCAGAGGCAAAGTTCCCGTGGTGTTGACACCGCGAAATAACTATAGCATAAAAATATAGACTTTAGCAAGCAATGGATGACGCGACATTGGACGATATAATCGCCAGACTACTAGATGTCAGAAACGGTAGGCCAGGGAAGCAAGTTCAGCTGACAGAAGCGGAGATTCGAAGTCTCTGCACCACGTCTCGAGATATATTCTTGCAGCAGCCGAACCTTTTGGAACTGGAGGCTCCGATCAAGATCTGTGGTGAGTTTCAAATTAACTTCCGTCGCTGCACGCTCTTATTCCTTAACCTTTGTTTCTTCAACTATCCGTTGTTTTAAACCGTCTTCGTCCTGCGTTTCGTCGCCTCGTTTCATCATTTATCCCCGCTCTTACTCCCACCCACCCCCCACCCCTTTTCCCCCTAAATCATCCCCCGTCCACCCGTTCTCTTCACTCTCTCTTTCTCGCTCACTCACCTGCACACACTCATACAACACATACACACACTCTTCCCTCTCTCCCCCCCCTCCCCCCACACCCCTGCTTCTTTCTCATTCCTCCTCGTTACGGTTTCCAAGCTCTGTCTTCATCCTAAGCCTACCGTGTGAACTCCGTGTCTCCTAGTCTCTTTAAATGAGTTTTCTTCCGTCCGCGTCAACGTTCACCCCGCTTTTTCCCCGTTCTTGTTCCGCCCTCTCTCTTTCCCCCCCTTCCCCTCTCCCTCCTCCCTTCCCCTCCCTCCCCTCCCCATTTCGCGCGTCTCCCTCATATCGCCGTTAGTCACCGCTTTCTGTTCGTGTATCGCAATTCTCTTAATCCCATCCTTTCGTTCTCACGGTCAAGCTCCTATATTGATCCACTCTCTCTCTCTCTCATTAATCGTCCATGATTCGTACGGGGGCGTTTCATAACCCCCGCCGCCGCCACAGCCGCTGCCACTGCCACCGCCGTTACTCTCTTCCCAACCCGTCTACCCACACGATCCCTCTCCGCCCTTGCAGGCGACATACACGGGCAGTACTCGGATTTACTGCGCCTGTTCGAGTATGGCGGCTTCCCTCCCGAGGCCAACTACCTTTTCATGGGCGACTACGTGGATCGCGGGAAGCAGAGCCTGGAAACCATCTGCTTGCTGCTCGCGTACAAGATCAAGTACCCGGAGAACTTTTTCCTCTTGCGGGGGAACCACGAGTGCGCGTCCATCAATCGCATCTATGGCTTCTACGACGAGTGCAAGCGAAGGTCCGTTTGCTGTGCGCGCGCATAGTTGCGAGCAGTTGTTGGAGATGGACAGGCAATCTCAGCCGTTCGTTCGTGGTGTCATCTCCCCGCGCAGTAGGTTACGTTGCGTCTCGCGTCTTCCCTCGCGGCATCTCTCTGTTTGCGCACGTCTTGTGGTGCTTCTGCGCTCTATATCGCTGTCCTCTGCCGCCGCTCTTTCAGGCGTTAATGTATTTGTTGCCGCGCGTCTCCTGGTTTGCGTATATCCCTCTTCCTTGGCTCGGCCCCCTTCTTGCGTCCCGCTCTTCCGTGCTCTCGTGCTCCCTCACGATCACCAGCGACCATGCGCACTTGCTTGACGCTCGCTTGTTTGCTCATCGATTCGTCCGTCCGTCCGTTTCTTCCTACTCACGTACGTACGTACGTACGCTCGTCCGTCCAGGTACAACATCCGGCTGTGGAAGACGTTCACGGAGTGTTTCAACTGCCTGCCCGTGGCGGCGCTCATAGACGAGAAGATCCTCTGCATGCACGGCGGCCTCTCTCCGGAGCTGCGCTCACTCGAGCAGATCAAGAAGATCGGACGGCCCACAGACGTCCCGGACGCGGGGCTGCTGTGCGATCTCCTGTGGGCAGATCCCGACAAGGATATCCAGGGGTGGGGGGACAACGACCGTGGCGTGTCCTACACGTTTGGTCCCGACGCCGTTACAGAGTTTCTGGACAAGCACGACCTTGACTTGGTGTGCCGAGCCCACCAGGTATGTGGTGGCGTTTGGGAAGACATGGGGGCATGGGGGCGTGGTCATGGGGGTATGGGGGTGTGGTCATGGGTGTGTGGGGGCATGCGCCATGGGGGTATGGGGGCATTGGGGGACGGGGGGATGGGGCATGGGGCGTGGTCACGGACACAGGAATGGGCTCAGAATGGGCATCGAGGTGCACAGGCACACAAGGCAGGAAACCGTTTCCTTCTATTGTAATTTTAAATTTCACGTTTCACTGCCCTCCTCACCCTTTCTCCTCCTCGCATGGTATTTCCTATTTCCTCGCATGGTGAATGGCCTTGGTTGTGCGTGCAACCCCACTACAGGTTGTGGAGGACGGCTATGAGTTCTTTGCCAAGCGCCAACTCGTGACCGTCTTCTCAGCGCCCAACTATTGCGGCGAGTTTGACAATGCGGGGGCCATGATGAGTGTGGACGAGAGCCTCATGTGCTCCTTCCAGATCCTCAAACCCGCAGAGAAGAAGCCGAAATTTGGCTACGGAGGCAATGTGGGCGGTCGGGGGATGATGCGAGGGCGGGTGAGTTAAAAGAAATGTAATGCCTGCATTTGTGTGCATTCTGTGTTTTGTTGTGGCTTGCTCCACTCTTGTTGGGTTAGTGCATGTTTTATGTGTTTGTGTGTGTGCACTTGCTTATGTATGCTTTGCTGCTCTTTTGCTGTGTACTGCTGTTGGCAGGGGTATGGAGGGAAGTGAGTGTTTCTCAGGGAAGTGAATTGTCCAGTGACCTTGTACTAGCACCTCTGATTTCGTCATGAAGTGCTGAACTGATGCCTGCTAACTCTGGTTGGAGCATAAACAGGGAGCTGGCTTGAAATAGCTGGTTGCGTAATTATAAGATCTACCGAGAGCGCTAGAATCAAACTTGTTACGGTAAGAGCATTTTGATTGATTAATTTGTGAACTATCCTAGGACCCACCGATTTTTCTTGTTCCTTTAGCCACATTATTTGAAGCAATGGCACTCAGGTCAGGTAGTTGATTACCTAAAATAGATTCTGAGAATGCATCAGATGGTAACTCTGGCTCCTGTTCGTACAATTCATTACCAACTAGCAGCTGAAAAAGTGTTGTGAAATAACACTGTAGAGGAACTTATGTGTCCCCTCCTGCATGAGGGTTTTGATTCTCTCCTGCTGCTGCTTCTGCTGGTTCTGCTGCTCGAACCGTGGTGGGCCTGCCTTCCCCTGCCCTTGCCCTTGGAACTGTGTTAGGTCGTGCCCTTGCCGTTGCAGCTGCGTTCGATCGAGCGCATCTGACAGCCAGTCTCCTTGTCCTTCGGGAGACCCAGTGTTTTGTTATTGTTTCTCACGCGTCTGGTAACCGTCTTTCTCGTGTTTTTTTCTGACGCCGTTGTTGAAAAAATCAAGCGAGTACTTTTTTGTTACGAAATCCGATCAGCCGCGGATTAGGCGCAGGCTCGTCGCAGTGAACTTCGTTCTCGCCGAAGTTCGTTCGTTTATTTGGAGAGGCGGAACTGGTATTGTTCGGAGGGGACGTAAGGAAGAAAAGCGAATTGGCGCAACGAGAGACGCGCGCGGTTTGCCACGCAGCGGTCTCCTAGCGCAACAGAGGGGTCAGGGAGCGGATCGGAGAGGAGGAAACAGGCGGGTGGAGTAACAACAGGCCGCGAAGATGTTGCAAGGGGCGGACGTTCCTCCGAATCAGACCATCTACCTGAACAACCTCAATGAGAAGATTAAGAAGGAAGGTGCGATTGAGTCGGTCGCGAAATCGCCAGGCTAGGTTGAAACCACGTGGTTCGTGGTGGGAGATTCTTACTAAAAAGGTGCGTTTTTTTCACGCGTCCGCTTGCCGTCCGCAGCGCTGCCGTCTAGGGCGGCGGATTAGGGTGGCTTAGACTAAAAGCATGATGCGTAATCGGCTGCGTAGCAGGATGTGAAGCGCCGTGTGCGCTGGGCGCCGGTGGGGGAGCGAATTTGAATTCGCTTTCTCTGTTTGTACAGGCGGCATTTCGTTAATACTTCATCCAGCGTAACTTTTATTTATATATGCTTTTCCCCTAGATCTCGCTGCTCTTTTGTCCCCACAGTGGTTTCCGCCCTTTTCCTCTTCCGCCTACCTGCCCCCCGATATCCCCTAACGCCTCCACGCGTCCCTTCGTTTCCCGTCCCCCTCCTCCTTAACGCTCCCCTTCCCCCCCACCCCTCCCCAACCCCCCCGTTTCACCCTTCCACCCACCGCCCCTCCTCCTCACCCTCCTTCTTTCCCCACTCCTCAACGCGCAGAGCTGAAGAAGTCGCTGTACGCGGTGTTGTCGCAGTTCGGCAAATTCCGTTGGTGCAACGGGCCCAATTCCCCTCCTTTCCCCTCCTTTCCCTTCCTTTCCCCTCTTCCCCCTCTCCCCCCACCCCTCCCCTCCCCATCTCTTGCGCCCCCCCTTCCCCCCCCCCCGCACAGAGCTAAAGAAGTCGTTGTACGCGGTGTTCTCGCAGTTCGGCAAGATCCTCGACATTGTCGCGCTCAAGACGCTGCGGCTGCGCGGGCAGGCGTGGGTGGTGTTCGAGGACGTCACGGCCGCCACCAACGCGCTGCGCCAGATGCAGGGCTTCCCCTTCTATGACAAGCCCATGGTGCGTGCAGGGGGTTGTATGTGCCGGGGGGGGGGGGGGGGTTGGGGGGGTCGAGGGTGTATGTGGTGGAGGGTGTATGTGGGGCGGGGTGTATGTGGTTCGGGGTGTATGTGGGGCGGGGTGTATGTGGGGCGGGGTGTATGTGGGGCGGGGTGTATGTGGGGCGGGGTGTATGTGGTGTGACAAGCCCATGGTGTGTGCACGGTCGGGGGTGTATGTGGTGGGAGGGTTGTACATGGTAGTTGTTCACCACAGTCTTTAGCGATGGTGATTTTGCATCCCTCTCCCTCATTCACCATGTCAACCCTTTAGCTGGCTCATAACCTCACTTTCCCCCGTACCTCCACATCCCCCCCACGTGCTCCTCCTCCCCCCCCCTCTCCCCTCCTTGTGTCACGTGCAGAGGATCTCGTATGCAAAGACCAAGTCGGACGTTGTTGCCAAGACAGATGGCACGTTCGTGCCCAGAGAGAAGCGCAAGCGCCACGAGGAACGAGGTACGCTGTCACAACAGGGTGTCGGTTGCTCTTGTGTACGGTTTGAATTGGGGCCCACTCTCCCTTCCTTACCCACCATTCTCGCACTCTCCTTCCCCCTCCCGCCCCCATTTCTTGCTTGCTCGCTCCCCCAGCCCCTTCCAGCCCCTCCCCTCCCCTCCATTTCCAGTGACTCAAACTTTTGCGTTCCCTTCCTGGCCTTGTCATCTCCTCGTTAAAGTCCTCATGCAGTTTATTCTCTCTCGCTCAGCCATGCCTCTTGCTTCTTTCCAATTCTCTCTCTCACTCCTCCCCGTCTTCCCCCTGTTCTCACAACCCCTCTTCGCTCCCTTCCCCCTTTCCCTCCCCTCGTCCATTCCCCCCTTCCCTTCCCTCCTCCCTTCCCCCCATTCCTCCTTTCTCCCTCCCACCCCTCTCTTCCCAATCAGCCCGGCGTCGCCAGCAGCAGGAGCATGCAGCAGCAGGGGCAGCAGGCGGCGGCCGCGCCCCTGCCACTGCTGCAGCCTATGCTCAGGTGCGGGGAGAGGGTAGAGCGGCAAGGGCACGGGCACGGGCACGGGCAAGGGCAGGGGCAGGGGCAGGGGCAAGGGCAAGGGCAGAGAGAGGTTGCAAGGGCAAGGGAAAGGGCAAGGGCAAAGAGAGGGTTTGGAGAGGACAAGTAGAGGGCAAGGGCAAGGATGGCAAGAGCAGGAACTGTACGCGCAAGAATGTATTGGTTGTCTAGGGCACCTTACCACAACGCCCCCTTCATTACTGCCCTTATTACCGCGCCTTAGCTCGCCACTTGCATGGGATATCCCATCCTTTCCCACCCATCCCTGTCTCACGGCCTCACATCCACTCTGTTCCGTTTTCCTACCGTCTTCCCAACGCCCCCTTCCAATGTTATCCCACTCACCTCCCTCCACTCCCCCTCGCCCCACTCCCCTCACTCCACTCCCCTCACTCCACTCCCCTCACTCCACTCCTGTCTCTCCCCTCCCCTCACTCCACTCCCGCTACCCTCTCCAGGCCGGGACAATCCCAGGGGCGAACGAGCCGCCCGCGCCGCCCAACAGCGTGCTCTTTGTGCAGAACCTGCCGGTGGAAACCACCCCGGCCATGCTGCAGATGCTGTTCCAGCAGTTTGCTGGGTTCAGAGAGGTGCGGATGGTGGACGCCAAGCCGGGAATCGCCTTTGTGGAGTTTATAGACGAAGTGCAAGCCAGTGTGGCCTTGCGGGGGCTGCAGGGGTTCAAGATCACGCCCACACACCCCATGCTCGTCTCATACGCCAAGAAATAAGTGTACGGTGGTTGGAGAGGAGAGGGGGATGTTTAACAAGTAATCTGATTTTTGTTTTTGGTCAAAATTTGGTGTATGTTTAGGTTGCATTTTTCTTAGACGGTGCGATTGATATTCATGTTGGTGGCTTCTAACAATATAACTCTAATTGGTGTCCATGAGTCCGGTAAAAAAATAAATTGTCACATTGTTAACGCGTATCGAACCGTTTGTTTCTTATGATCTCCTCATTCCCCGCTTTCGCCGCTGCGCATTCCCGCACAACGATCGAACAGCGCAACCAGTTCGAAACGTCGTGCGGGCATACCCAGTGCAGGTCAGGAGACCAGGTCACGTCACGTGATTCGTTGACTTCTTTCAACTGGCTACCACCCACCACTCGTGGGGCCTCATTACGAGTAATTAGTAATTCCGAAGCGCACTCATCCTCGTGTAGTAGAATCTCTGTCAAGGGTCGGGCCCGATAGTGGGTTAAAGCCTGTCGATTAGGTATTTTAGGATCCGATGCGCGGGAGAACATCGTGGGAGGAGGGGCGCGCGCGTCGTAGTCTGGCTAATTAGGTAGCGCATGCGCTGAGCATGGCCATATCGCACGCTGAGTACTAGGAATAACTAGTGTTTGTAGCGATCCCGGTATTGATAACGAGTATACCGAATACCGAGTCGACTTCCTGCGACTACTGATTCTGGGCTGGAAAGCGCTCCACATCCCAAGTGTGGTGCGTTCACCAATTTCGCCGAACCTGCTGGTCAACGAATATCGTCGCCATTGTGCTGTCTGGGTGACAGTAACGGGGAATGTCGTCGACGTTGTGCTTCGTTATAGTGGGTCGCAACGACTGCCCGCTTTACGATGCCGAACTTGGCACGGCTCCTCGGGTACTGTACCTTCGCAATTTCTTCCTTCCCCTTCCCCTCCTTCTCCTCCTCCTCCTCCTCCTCCTCCTCCTCCTCCTCCTCCTCCTCCTCCTCCTCCTCCTCCTCCTCCTCCTCCTCCTCCTCCTCCTCCTCTCACTCCCCATTTCTCTCAATACTTTCCCTGACTCCCCATGATCGCTGCTCACGCCTGTTCACTCCCCATCCGCGTTATAATGCCACTCGTGATCCAACATTCGTCCTCCCGCTCATCCTTTCCCTATTCCCTTGACCGTGCATCCCCCGCGCTGGTCGCTTCCCTCCCCTCCCCACTTCCCACCTCCCCCCCCTCTCTCCCCTCTTTCCCCCAACCTTCCCCGAACTCCCCCCGCCCCACTTACCCCCCATCCCCCGCTTCCCCACCTTTCCCCCGCTTCTCCCCGCCGCTCTCCCCTCCCCCATCTCCCCCCCCCCCTCTCAGCGCGACGAAGCAGCGCATCTGCACCAGTTCAGCCTGCACGGCGCCATGGACATCGTGCAGGACGCCCAACGCCCATCCCCCCCCTGCGCTGCCCCCTTGCGCCTTTGCCCTCTCCTCTCACTTCCCTCCTTTCTTTTCCCCTGTCAGCGTGACGAAGCAGCGCATCTGCACCAGTTCATTCTGCACGGCGCCATGGATATCGTGCAGGACGCCGTGTGGGCCACCAACAACATGTGCGCGCTGGGGGGGGGGGGGCATGCGTGGAGGATGGGGGGGGGGGGTGGGGGGGCGGAGGTGGGGTGGAGATGGGGGGTAGTTGGGGGGGGGGGATGAAGTGGGGGTGTGGGGGTGGGGAGATGAGGAGGATGGGAAAATGTGGGGCACGCTACAAGAGAGAGTGAGGGAGTGGAAACACGAAGAGAGCGACCAGATAATGAATGAACAGTGCAAAGATATTGGAGTGTGAGACCCCCATCTCCCAGGACAGTGGAGCTTCGGAACGTCCCAAAATATTGAATAACGCTACAGCAGTGACAGAGACCCCCATATCCCCCTCCATCTCCTCCCGTCTTCCCCCCATCCCCACCCCCCCGACCTCCCATTCCCCCAACACGCCATGCATGTACCATGCATCACTATTCATCAACCCCCCCTTCTTCGCCCCACCCCCTCGTTATCCCGTAACCCTAAGTTGTGAGAAGTCTCGTTAAAATCTATTTTAGAAAAAGCTCACATTGAGAGGCCTCTATGCGCTTTCCCCTTCCTCCCACAGTCGTGCATGCTCAAACATGCACACGTCACACTCACTCCAGCCCAGGCCCATAGAATCGCTGGTTACGTGTTTTTTTTTTTTTTTTTTTTTTTTGGAGGCCTTTGAAATCAATTACTCCTTCTTCCCCCCTTGCCCCCCATTCCTTTCCCTCTCCCCCCGTCCCCACCATTCCTTCCCCTCTCCCCCCGTGCCCCCCATTCCTTCCCCTCTCCCCCCGTGCCCCCCATTCCTTCCCCTCTCCCCCTGTGCCCCCCATTCCTTCCCCTCTCCTCCCGTGCCCCCCATTCCTTCCCCTCTCCTACCGTGCGCCCCATTCCTTCCCCTTCCCCTGCCCCCTGTTCCTTCCCCTCTCCTCCCGTGCGCCCCATTCCGTCCGCCATATCCCGTTGCTTGAGCCACCGCCAGGCATCTCAAGGCCGTGGACAAGTTTAATGATCTGCTCGTCTCTGTCTACGTCACCGCTGGTCATATCCTCTCACGCCGCCTACCCCGCGCCCACTCCTCCACATGCTGCCTTGACACGCCCTAACATGCACATGCCCAGGCACGCACACAAAGGCATGCACGCACACGCGCATGCCCTCTCTTCGCTTCCTTTCTTCCTGCTTTCTCTTTCGCTTGCTGCCCTCTGTATTCCAATTCGTGCTTTTTCTGTGAACGGATTGAAACTTCCCAACATACATTGTACCTGTTCCCTAGTTCATATTGCTTCCACTGTTGCTGTCTTGTCATCCCACGTCACTCACCTTCCGACAAACTTCACACGTCCCACTCATCTCATCTCATAACCGTTGGCCTTCTGCCCGTAAACCCACCTGCCGCTGCAACAGCCGTTGCTCCTCTGCCTTGTTACTCTGAAACTTACCGCTAAATTATGAATCATGCAATTTTCCAGCCTGTTGCTCCCATGTCTCTCTCGGTGGATTTCCTTAACCGCTTTCTCTCTCCCATCTCCGTCTCATGTATGAACTTACTTATCTCGACCTGCGTCCGTTCACCATCTGCTCGGCTGCGTCTATTTCCGCGCTTCCAAATTCTTTGAAACCGTACTGTTGCCGCTTCTGTGCCCGCGTCCGCGCCGTTTCAACTCCGCCGTTCCAACTGTGCTGTTACAATCGTGCTGTTTCAACCGCGCCGTTACAACCGCGCACAGACGAAGCTGCTGCTGCTTCATGACTCGCGCAACGAGGACGGCATTAAAAACTTTTTCCAGGAAGTGCACGAGCTCTACATCAAGGTGAGCTGACATTGCACGCGTTGATGAACCCAACTCCATGTGCCCCCCTCCCCCCCCCCCCCCCCCCCCCCCCCCCCCCCCCCCCCCCCCCCAAATACATACTCACAGTTTTCTGATCCACGCACACTCCCACTCGCTCATTCTCTCTCCCTCTCTCTCTCTCTGTGACCCCCGCCCTGCTTCCTCCACTCCTCCTCAGGTGCTCATGAACCCACTCCATGTACCCGGATCCAAAATTATCTCTACGGTCTTCGACGCTCGAGTCAGGGCTTTGGCCAAGAGGCACCTGTGAGGCTGGAGGTTGCACAAAGTATCCCTCTTTAGGCAAGAACAGAAAGCAGGATACAGCTGAAAGGGATCCTAGATATTTGTGGGGAATAGCCTGGACAACAGCATGGCAACGTGTCACGCATGAGCATACGTACTTGTGTAAACAGGATAGGGAGAAGGAGGAATATCAGTTACCGGTATGTCACTCGCCACTTGTTTCTTGTTAAAATTGCCTCTGGCACATCCATACTGCCGGTATACACCCCTGTCTTACCGGTGCTGCCAACATCGTATGTGGGCTGCTTTGGTGGGAAACATTTTTCTACTTCTGAGGAATTCGTGTGGTGCCTGTATGTAGTCTGCAACATCTGGAAGCATCATATGGTATATTTTTCAAACATCTGTTCCAAAAATAAGTCATGAAACAATGCATATTTTTGAAAAAATCCAAGCACAATGAATCATGCATGCAAGGTGGTGAATCCTTATTCGAGAGTGGACATCAGCCTTTGGTAATAAGGCACCCATGCCCAACCCCTCAGGGCATGCTGAGAGCATGCTGGACTGGACCTGCACTCCTAGCACCTTTATTGTTATTAATGCGCATAACCTTAGTCTATATATCTACTCCGCAGCACTGCCGAAAATGGTGCCGAAAATCACCCCTTCGTAGTCTCCTCCCTATACACTTGCCCTGCTTCCTCCAGTGCAAGAGGGAGATGTGACTTGAGTGGGGATGATTGTCCCGCAACGGATTAGGTCTCACCCAGTCTTCTCTTCACAGAGTCTCACCCACGCTCGCAAACTATTGTAACATACCTCGCCCACTCTGGAGTCTCTCTAGACTAGACTCGTCAGCAGCCTCGTTCTCTTTGTACGTCCCACGCGTCACAACGACTCCGTTCGCCTCCCAAAAAGCCTCGCGATTTTACTCTTCACACTGCCCCTCTTCCCCCCCTCTGCACCGCTCCCCACCCCTCCCGCCGCCTTCTTCCTCAACCAGCTCTTCAGCCCGCCCTTCCGCCCACCACTCCGCTTCATCCCCGCCTTCTTCCCCTTCTTCTTCCCCTTCCCCTTCCCCTTCCCTTTCCGCCCGAACCACGGCTGGGGGAAGAACTTTCGGGGCAGTTTCACGCGCAGGAGCGACAGCGCGTGCGCGAGCTCCGAGTCAACCTCGGGGGAGCGCGAGAAGCGGCAGAAGCGGCAGTCCGCTTTAAGGAGGTCCGACACGAGATAGTCCTCCACGCTGCCGTCGATAAAGCCCTCCGCGTTGTCGCCCGGCACGGCATTGGCGCGCAGCAGCGGGTTGTACTTGAGCTCCTGGTTCGCGCTGTAGGGGGGAGTAGGGGTGGGAGAGGAAGGGGGAGGGGGGAACGATGGGAAATGAGACATTGGCGCGCAGCAGCGGGTTGTACTAGAGCTTCTGATTTGCGCTGTAGGGGGAAGGGGGGAAGAGAAGCGGGGGGAAAGGGGTTCGGAGGGAATGAGGCATTGGCGCGCAGCAGAGGGTTGCATTAAGAGCTCCTGAGTCGGGTCTGTAGGGGAGGAGAGGCGGGAGAAGGGGGACAAGGCGTAACGAGGAGTTGGCGCGCACTGAAGGGTTGTGATTGTGCTTCTGCTGGGGGGGAAGCGCGAGAGTAGCGGAACCAAGCCCCTGGGGAGGGGAGCAAGCCATGAGCCCCAATCTTGCACAGCTACACAAGGAAATCACACAGGCATTCGCAAAATATCTCATCGTCTACACCGGAGTAATTACACAAAGCAGAATACGTCAGACGCACAACAACTGGCTTGCACCCACCCACGCCCCCCCCAACGTACAGTCGTCCGTGGCAGTCGGGGCGGAACGTCTGTCCCAACACGCCGTGCACGGCCGTCGAGAACGTGGCGCCTAGAACGTCGATGCCGAAATGCACCACGCCATCGTCGCCCGTTCGCAGGTTCTTCACCTCGGGTCGCAGCGTCAGCCGCAGCGTGCCCATATCCGTTATAAGCAGGTCGTAGACGTCGACTAGGTCGTCCCCGCTCCGGAGCCGCGCCTTTACCCACCGCAGCGACGCGCCCGGCCAGAGATTAACGCTCGTCCCCGGCGCCGGTACCCTAACCGGCCGGTCGTTGACCGTCACGCGGCCCAGGTAGCCGTTTCCATAGTCGGCGGAGGAGCCGTTACGGGCGTGAAGCACGGCGGTGTGGTGGCCGAACATGATCCCGAGGGAGCGAATCCACGTCAGCGCCTTGGTGGCGTTGCCCCACGTGCCGAACCGCCCGCCGAAGTAGCCGTTGACCTGCAAGTGCGCGTCGGAGATTAGCGCGAAATGATGGTTGGGGAGGCCTGGTGGAAGCAGTTGGGGGGGAGAGGGGGAATAAGGGGGAAGCATGAGGGGAGCGCGAGGGGAAAGAGGGGTAGAGCAAGGGTACAGAGCAAGGAGAGAGGATGAGAGCGGAATGCGCGAGCACGGTGACGCTGGTTTGTCACAGAGTTCAACTGCAAAAAGAGGCGAAACACGCGGAGGAAAGAGGCGACTCTTGAGTCAACTGAAAAACGACGAGCGGGTGACAGGGGTGTCTTAATAGTAAAAGAACTATTGATTGAACCGCTCTCCTTACCGGAGAAGTCAAAGTGCGACCCGTCAGCGCCCGTGAAGTGCGGGTCGCCCTTCTCGACGGCGAGGCACAGCGCGCCGACGGTGAAGTTGGCCGGCACCTCGTAATCGTCCGTCGCCACGTCGCCGCGGCTCGGCTGCATCCAGTCGTCCGTGTAGCTCGTCTCGTCCTTGCACCTGTTCGCGTTATAGCACGCGCAAATTCCTGACGAATCGGCGCCGGGAGGATGAATAATGCACGAGGAGCGAGAACGACTTTAGTAAGTAGTGGTGCTTGAAAAGAGTGCACTAGCGGAAGTGCGTTTACGGGGCTCTTCCTGTTCGGGGATAATGATGCGACGCGCTACGAGAGATTGAAGCAAAGATAGTTGACAAAAGACGACTTATAAGCGCGACGCGACCAGCACGATGGCAGGACATCGAGCGACCACATGAACGTTCAAATTCGAGATAGAACGCGTGTCGTACCTCCATTCCCGTCGTTGCACGTCTCCTCGAACATCCAGTACTTGGCCTTCACGTCAGCAGGTGCATCTGCCGGCAGCTTCGAGTTGTAACCAGCGCAGAATCTGTAACAATCGGTGTGCGGATCGCTAAGCATTTCGTCGAAAATGTTGTACTGATTGTAGTTGTACATTTGCCCGGGATAGAAATACGCCTCCACGAGAGGGTCACTCGGCTCAAGAAATACATCGGAGGGCGTGTTAGGATCGAGGAATTTCCCTAGCGTGAATAGTCCCTCGCCGCATTGGAACTTCGGGCAGACTAACGCGTGTGTGATGGAGGAGGAGAGCAGGAATAAAATCGCCAGGCGACGCGCCTGTTGTAGCACCAAGTGGTACATCATTAGGTCGATATTAATGCAGGCAGCGATGTAGGTAAAGAGGACCAAAACTGGAGAAGCACCAGGTTCCGTGAAAGATATGCTGGGAATAACAGCTTCTATGACCAACAGAGGTTTCTGAGATAAATTAAGAGAAATTCCGATCCTCCTGTGGAAGTCCAGCTTCGATGGCTCACTGAAAAATGTCGAGTTTCTGGCTTCAAGTCGAATGTACTGTCATTGTGGGGTTGTGGGAGAAAGGCAGAATTGAAATTGAGCCAACTAGCAGCAGCCGAGTCGCTAGTGAGGTCATCACGGGTCGCCTTCATGTGGAACTCTATGGCGAAGCATGGGGAGGACAGGACAGGCCCTGTGGATGCTCACAATCACAACGACACACCTGTAACAAGGTTGCCGATCGACGGTTTAGAATGGATCGCGAACCAAAACCAACAATCCACAGCCCCAGATATGGTGCAGTGTCGCCCTCAGGCGAGTTGTGGTGTGTGTCAGCAAGAGTCTCTCTGTGGGGTGGAGGCGCAACACTGGCTATGTTTTTGCGCTACAAGCACTCCTTCGATATCGAAGTGCTGATTTCAAATAAAGTAATATTCTGTACAAGGGAATATATGATAAAGTCGTTCACCAACTTCGCTAGTGGTACGCCCCTTATCTACTGACTGCTGAGGTTTCATTGCTTAAAAAATTATTCCGTTTCTCAGCTTCCTTATGATCCTCCTCAATTGTGATGCCTTGGCCGGTTGCATTTAGAAAAACGTCATCAAAGTGAGGTGACAGCAACATTCGTTGCAACGTCTCGAACCATGGCGTGCTCGGCTGTAATACGAGTATAAGGCCCTGGCCTCGCAAATCACGTCATATATACCGGTAGTTTGTCCGCCATTGCAAAAATGTCGTTGTAGTGGCTGCTAAGAATTGGGATGGGGACGTGCATAATACGCTGACTAGAAGATGAGTATGGAGTGGACTCTAGTTTTGAGAGGGGATGAGTATAGTCAGTTGGAAAAACAATGATGGACTATAGAGCAATTTGCAAAATACCACTGTAATTAGGCAACATATGCACATGCATTCCATGTTTGGCGATTTACCACCCCCCCAAAACCCCTTCTCCACACCCCTCACACCCGCCCACTCAAAATAGTTTCCCGAGACAATCCCGAAAAGTTCGGTGGGATCGCTAACGTGTTATCGCGGCAATGCCGTCTTCAGCGAAAATTGAAATCGCTTCACTCGCACGGGAATCTCGCCGGAAGGGCCTTTCAGATATCATTTCACGAAAACGATGTTTTGCCTCGAAATCGAACCGTGCAAGAAAATTGTCAGACATTCGAAGGAAATGCAGCACGGAGTGCGACGCGACAAGCAGAATGAGAATCTGCGTGCAATCCTCTTCAGACTTTCATCCGTAGATCAATCCTTCCCCCACACCCTCCAGAAAACAGGCAAAACAAGGTTGCGCTACCAGAATTGCCAACTTAGCCCCCCAAATCATTGAGAAAGTTGCCTGATCAACCATGCCATTTACAACAGCCCCTACACTTTTGCGAAGTCGATTAGATTACAAAATAAGAG